AACAAAAGTTCAGGAACTTCAAGGAAACCAGGGGAAAATAGATGCAAAGGAAGCACATCTGGTAGTATTAGACATTAAACCACATTATAAGGTAGGAACATTGTTGAAGTGCAAAATGGATAATTTTGATTATTTTAAATTTTTTTTTTCTTACAAAAATAAAATCTATACAGCTAAGAATAGAAGGAATGCAGAAAATTTTGGGGAAAACTTTCATAGAAAGTCTCTCAGATAGAATGGGATTGGATTGGAATATTGCTGTGGTGTAGGATATGATGAACTGGTTGATTTAGAAAAAAACATGGAAATACTTGGACTTATGAAAGAAAATGCTGTTCACCTTCAGAGAAACAGATGAAAAGTAGAAATAAGCATAGTACAGTCTTATATATGTGTGTGTGAATGTATATGTGTGTTTATAGATATCTATGTATATGTATAATATTATGTATTCATATATGTATTTCTATATGTGTATATATGTATGTATATATGTATATCTTGTATTCACACACACACACATATCTCCATGCTTTTTGGTGGGGAGGGAGAAAGGAAAAAAATGTAAAATGTAAACAGCAAGAACAAAAGAAGACCCACAGAAGCAAAGAAAAGCTGCATAGTTTTGAAAGCAATGTGTAGTATTTATTATATAGCTTTTCTTGAAATGGAAATTTATTGCTTTATATTAAATACTGTCTTATGTTCTACTGTGTACATGGTGATGCATTTTTTCTTTTTTTATTTGTAGTTGTTTAAAATAAATTTAAAAACAAAAAACAAAAAGAAAAGAAACAAAAAAGGGAAATATATTCTCACTAATCTTTAAGATGAGTAGAAAAGGGCCAGTTATTTCTTTAATTTATCAACTAGCAAACTTTGCAGGACAGAGGGCAGTAGGAGAATGGAATAGGAATAATGGGGTAGAGGGCCTGAAATGAGATGAAATGGAAATCAGTTTAATCCAGGAGAGTTTAAATGAGAGTGACATTTTTGAGTGGTTTTACAGGGTTGATTTTATCTGGAAGAGATAGGCAGAAAAGGTGATCATCTTATCTGAGCAAGAGTTGTACTTCCCAAGATTTCATCCCATCTTGAAAGGTATGATCTACTCTGGGTAACTGACATACTAGGTGTTATGGGAGTCATATATCCAGAGATATGATATATTGGACCCCATTGAAAGAAAATGTTAAACCCAGGACACATAGAACACAAAAGAAAAATAAAATCTTAAAAAAATGTGCAAGGGAAATATATCTATGAAAGTACTAACATAGAAATGAAAAAGCATGTAGCACATTTTTTTTACTCTAGATGTTCTACCTTTTATGAGGAAAATAAAAAGAATAAAGAAGGACCATGTAAGATTATAGCCCACAAACAGGAAAATAGAACTCAAACTAGGCTAGAAAGAGATATACATGAGAAGAGAGAAAAATTAAATGAAAACATCGTGGAAAAGGACATTAAAAAAGAACATTATTTAAGCTAAGATGTTGGAATGGAGGAAGACATGAAATAGAGAACTTTTGACCACAGATTATGTGGTTTAGGGAGAGAAAAGATTCAAAAGAAGGACTATGACTCTAAGAGTCTTTATGGTACAGTAGAATGAGTGATCAGCTTGCATTCAAGAAGACCTAGGTTCACATTCTGTATAACTCTGAGCCATTCATTTAACCTCCATATGTCTCAGACAACTTTTTAGGATTTATCTGCTAGGATAGTTGTACTATGTTGGTGGAAGGAATTCCCATACAAAAAATTTCCCTTACTATGACAACATTACAGGTCCTTTAAATATTGTTCAGAGGAATATCTTCCATAACATTGATATAAATTGTCTTCAACCTGAGGATTAGAGCTCCCAAGGCTTTTCTCTCCAACATGTTAAATATATTGCATGTGTTTATTCTACTTGGTTTACATAGTTGTGAAAGATGACTTGCACAGCAAAAGGGTCCAGTAAGATGATGATGGATTGAATGCAAGTGCATTTTATTTTTATGTTTTCTTGGAGCTACAAGCAAAATTACTACCACAGCCCAATTTAAAGGCAGAACTGTAGGTGGTCACATACATATTATGATTACAGTGTTGAGAAAAATGTGGCCCTAAATATCTTCTTCCTTCATTAATGGTTGTTACCTGAAATTCTTCCTTAAAGAATTCATTCTTTTTTTTTTTTTAAGCATTGGAGTCCTTTTGTTTTTTAAAGTAGATAGTTTAAAGTTGATAGATAGTTTTTAAAGTAGATAGTAGATAGATCAGATAAAGTATTGATACATTTCTGTGAATTAGTTTTATCAGATTATTTTATATTAGAGAAATGAATAGCTTTGGTAAGAAGAAACAGTACAAAGGCACAAAAGAACCTACATATGGGAGAGCTCATTTCTAGCTTTGTGAAGCAAACAACATTTAACCCAAGAAAGTATCAGTTTCTTCATTACAAAATGAGCATTATGGTGCTTTTCCTATTTCACTGGGCTCTCAAATGTAGATAACATGTAAAAATATTTTTTTTCAAGCTGGGGAAGTATCTTAAGTATTTATTTACTCAAACTTGTAAGAAAGCTTTTTCTCCTAGTATAGGTAAGCACTTGATCCAGAACTTATTCTGAGAGATTGTGACTTGCCCATGGTCATCCACTCAATATTTTAGAGGTGGAAATTTTACCTAGGTTTTCTGATTCTTGAGCTAGCTCTCTCTCTCTACCATGCAGTGATTCCTGTCATCAAAAAATTATAATTAAACACATTTCACCTACTCCATAATTTTACCTTAGTAATACCCTACTGTGGCAATGAATTAAAATACTATCAGCACATGCATTTGGTTTCTTGTGGAAAGGCATGGAAACATGACTAGAAAAAACTCAATATCATGAACTGATGCAGAATGAAAAAAAAAAACCCAAAACCTTTATATCCACAATAGCTACAATGAAATATAAGAAAAAATATAGAAAAGAAAAAAAAAAGCAGGATACTTTGTCAATATAGTAGTGAAGAAACTTAGCCCTGGAGAAGAACTGAAAAAAAAATAGCACCTTTCATCTTTGCAGAGCTATGGAACTATGAGCTGGAATATTGTATACCTTGTCAGACTTTGTGGATATTATGGTTGGTTTTGCTAAACTGCTTTTTTCTCTTTCTTTAAAAATGTTATATGGTAATGTTTCTGGTTAACTGGATAGTCGAAGAGGATGAGGCTTTTGTCAGTAAATGGTGATATAAAAACAAAAGATATCAAAATTTTACAAAATAAGGAACATAAGAATGAAAAGACCTGCATTCTTCCAGTAACTAAATACATAATCTTCGGTCACTCAATATCTATCTTTCAATTTCATCATTTGCAAAATAAGGGGGTTGAATTGATTCCCTGGTTCTTTACCTTTTTCAGGAATGAGAATTTTCTTTTACTACAAGCAAATTTGGCAAATCCCAACAAGACAATGATTATGCTCTTAGCCTGTAGACTCCTTGTGTGTAGCAATTACTTTTTTTTAGATATCTGCTTCCTCAACACCTGGTACATAATCCAGTGCTTAATAAATACTTGTTGATTAATGTATTAGCATAGATTGAGATAATACATAATGACAAAAGTTCAGAATAAATAGGGAAGGAGCATGAAATCAGGAAACCCTCAATTTATATCCTGCATCTGGTGATTACTAGCTTTGTAAACATGAGCAAGTCACTTAAGCTCATTGAGCCTCAGTTTCCTTATATTTAAAAAGGGAATAATAATAACAGTAGTAACGAATTTACAAGGTTGTTGAGATGCTCTAGAGCAGTGACGTATGTGTCACTCTTGGCAAATTTTAAAGTAGTTTATATGAATGTCAACTGTTATTATCATTATAATTAATAATAATTCTGTCATCATGATTTTCTGTTTTGATATTTACACCAAACTAGTGATATATGTGAGACATGTTATTTATTCAGTGTACAGAATGTGTGTTTTTGCTCACTTGTCAATTTACCTACAAATTCAAGGAGGCAGCTAGGTGGTACAGTGGATAGAATGCCGGGCCTGGAGTGAGGAAGACCTGAATTCACATCTGGCCTCGGATACTTACTACCTGTATAACCCTGAGTAAGTCACTTAACACTGTTTGCCTCAGTTTCCTCATCTGTAAAACATGATCTGGAGAAGGAAATAGCAAGCCACTCTTTTCCTTGCCAAGAAAACCCCAAATGGAGTCACAAAGTACATGACTGAGCTAGTGAACACAAAAATTCAAAGATCTAATGGAGATCCATTAGAAAAATTCTGCAGACACAATCAGTCCCTTTCTGAGATCTGCTGCGAAGGTTTAAAATTACTGGACTAGGTAATTTAGGTAGTTTAAGAATTAAATTAGGTAGTTTAGGACTAGTCCAAAATACAGCTCAAAAATTATTTGAATTTATAGAATTAAGACCCCTGTGACCTGTGTCAAATTCACCTGTCCACTCTCTTAATGAAGTGAAATCTTAAAAACTTCTTTCAACCTAATTGACTTTAGTCATTTATGAACCCTTTAGGATGAAAATGACAACAACAAACATATAAATCCTGAGGCTTAGAGAGGGTCATACATCTAGTAAGTGCCCTGGATTGGATTTACACTCAGATCTTCCATCCTCTTGACTCCAAATTCAGTGTTTTATCCACTATGCAGTACTGTATCTTGGCTTAGAGGGAAAATAGCTTTGAGGAGTCCTATGGATCTGCTCTTTGGGGATATGTGCATGTGAAGTACATCTTTGGTGTTCCCTCCAAAGTTCCAGATTGCCAACTTAAAGTAAGCACTGATTTCTTCTGTTCCATGAGTTGTTAATATGTCTTTGGGACATTGAAGGGCAGATATGCAGCGATCTAGGCATCTGCAACTTGTTGCTTATTGGGTGAAAGTCAGAAGAAAGATTCATTCTTTGGTTGTTTGCCTTGATAATATTTTTTCAGATTGTCTCCCTCATTTTTCTTTTTTTTTTTTCAGTCATAGATGTTCCCTAAGAGGGGAGGATCTCAACAGACAATGGCTCTCTCCTAGTGCTCAACACCAGCCAACTATCTACCATACAAAAGGCCTCTTACATTACTTAAATAGCATTGGCCGGACCCCAGTGGTAAGTCTCCTTTACTTTATTACTCTGCAGTTTCCTAAGAAATAAACTGCAATCAGATAACAGGAATGTTCCAAGGCTTTCACATGAAAGACACTATTAATAGTGAGGTGCTTTAATAGGTGAAGAGCCCAATGCTAGCCTTACATAACAAAATTACCTTGCTCACTCATAAATTTGAATGGAGGTTTAGTTAGCTGCCCAATGATCTACATCAGAGGTGTCAAAATGACTACTCGACACCTGCAATTTAAATACAATGAAATACTCTAAGCAGGATTTGAAGAAATAGTAGCACAGTAATTACTGTGAAATACATTGTAAAAAGTGCCAGAAGTCATCCAGGTAAAGAGAACAAAAATTAGGAAGCATGACTTGCCTCTAATATTTCATGTGAACCTAGGAAAATAGCTTCCCCTTTAAGATCCTCAGCTTTGACATTAACAACAGTAAAAACAATCAGAAAGATAAGAGGTTGATTCAATTATCCACTTAATGGGGCCTTGCCAATTGATACAGCCCCTCCACCTGGAGAAGGGTTGCTGAGCTCCAGCTAAACCCTCATTTAGTACCCTGTTGGGAGGGCATCTTTCTGGGTGGTACAGTAACTACTGGGGAGGGAGGCTTGGCAGTAAGAGGAGCAGGGAGGAGAGATATCCTCATAGGGCTGGCTGGCACCTTACCTGACTCATGTAAAGAAAACCAATAAGGCAGGATTTCTCTCTGCTCTGACAACCTCTAATCGAAGAGAAGAAGATTTATTTTAAAATGTGACAGGTGAAAGGCTTGTTTAAAAATATAAATAAACATTAATTAGCTATAAACATGACAGCCACAGACTTGTTTCCTGCTGGGAGCATCTGAAAGGTGTATGAGAAACAGCTGAGTACTAAATGGTATTCACAGTGTTACAAAGCTCTTTAATGGGCTCTGTATCACCTTTTAGTTACCTACCTGAATATATTCAGTCAACCTCCTAAAGATACCATAAGCACTGTCATTCATCCAGCACTAGTTCCTATCTTATTCAGGGAAGACTGCTCCAGTGCTGAAACATAGGAAACATAAATAAGCTTGAGGAACCCTTCTGGGGTTCTATGGATGGTGATAGATTAGGGTTCTCAGCATCCAGTTGGACAAAGGCAATATTTTCTTAAGATGTATTAGTATTTGCTTTTTTTTTTATAGCAGAGCAGATGAATTTTGGGATTGTTTAATCAGTACTCCCTAGGAGCAAGCAGGTGGCTAGTGTAGCAATGACGCGCAGCAATGTCAGTGCCTCAAATGTCAATCACACATTAGTCAGTGGTCTATGAAGGTAACCCAAACTTTTAGAAGTAGAGAGAACAGTATGGTTCTGCCACCACACCATGTCCCTTAGGCATGTCCAAAATATAACTTATTATCTCTCTCCATCTCTAAACCGAAGTCTTTTCTGAAATTCAGTTTTTCAGAAGAGGCCACCACCATCATATAGGTTACTCAGGTTTGCAATCTCGTAGCCATCATTAACTTTTCCTACTCCTTCACCCCAAATATCTAGAGTTGCCAAATAATGTTTATTCTATATCTAATATTTCTCCCACCTGTTTTGTTCCCCACACTTATGGCCACCCCTGTGGTTCAGGCTCTCATTAATTCATACCTGGACATCTTTGTCTGCTTTTGAATTGATCTTCTTGACTCAAATCTCTCTACTCTTAAATTTATCTTTCACATAGTTGGTAAATTTCAAAATGATATTCCTATAATGAGATAACACATAGAACATTTATGTAACATATAAAGCAAACTTTAAAAATCTATCTTAATGCTAGTTAGCATCAATATTGTTGCTATTGTTATTGTTATTATTACAATAGTTCTAACTATGCCACTCCCTTATTCAATAAACACAAGTGGTCCACTCATCTGTATAATAAAATAAAAACTGTTGTTTTGCTTTTAAAGCTTCTGACAACCTGACTCCCAGCTACCTTTCCAACTTTATTATACATTCCCATTCATGTGCTCTTTGATCCAGACAAACTATCCTTCTTGCTTTTCCTCATACATGCATGGTACTTTATCTCTTGTTACCATGCCTTTGCATAGACAGTCCCTCCCCTGCCCCCATACTTGGAATGCATGCTATTCTTATCTCTGAATCTCAGAATTCCTTGTGGCTATCCAGCATGGCATGGTACCTGAGGCAATTTGCAACATGGAAAATCTCTCTTAATCAAGCACAGCTATGCCAGTGAGTGGAGGAAAACTGTAGAATAAACCTTTGGACTTTCAGGGGATGGCAGCTGACTGGGTGAGTTGGGGGTAGGGTGAAGTTAATGCTTCCCTCAATTTCATCACTGAAATAGGCGGGATGCTCTACTTCCTCCCCAAAATGATCCTCCCCATCTAGTGGAGCCTTGTATTCCTTAAGATGTTGATGTTTTTGTGAAAAATACCTGATTATCTCATTCTATCCTCTGCTTTCATGTTTATTCCTGTCATCTTGAGTTTGAGAGATTTCTTTTGATTCTGTGGAATTTGCTGGCCCTTTTTGTCCAGCACCACTGGTATAAACTAGCCAAAGCACTTTCAAATTCTGCTTGATTTCAATAAAATAAACCCTGAGTAAGGCACAAGGAATAGGAGCTATGCAAGGCAGAGAAGCAATCATAAAGAGAGGAAAAAAGTATTTAGGTGGAGGATTCTTGAGATTCAGGAGGAACCTGTACAGGAGGGACACAGGTACAAAGAGAGACACCAAAGGAAACAGACTATGGACAGGAAGTGCCTAACTGGTTAATGCAAGGAGTAGGACCAGTTGGTATTTTATGTATATACAAATATTTGCATTTTATACATATACACATATAACTATATATATATATATATATATATATGTGTGTGTGTGTGTGTGTGTGTGTGTGTGTGTGTGTATATGTATACAGAAATATATTTGCATACACACACACACACACATACACACATGCATACATATACAGGCCATAGACATTATAGAAGATGGAAGATGTATACACGTATGTGTGTATATACACACACATGCATGTATATATTTTTACAATGCCTATGCCCCTATGTGTATATGTGTATGTATACATATGAATATATGTGTGTGTGTGTGTGTGTATGCTCTCATGTGTATGTATACATATATATGTAAATATATTTTTGTATAAACATATGCATATATCTTCTACAATGCCTATGCTCTTCACAGAGGTGTTGCAGGCACCCGTGTCCCTGACAGTGTTTATTTTCCGGTGAATATGAGAGAGATAAAGAGATACGCGGGCCAGGTGGGTAACAGGTTCAGAACCAGTTCTGTTTATTGATCTGAGGGCTAGGTTTTTATATCCCATTTGTGGGAACAGAACCCAGAGTGGAAAAAGCCAAGTATCAACAATAGTTTTTCTCATGGTAACAGTAACTGGGGGGAGTCCCCTCCCCCCAGAGTCCCCACTTCCTGGTTATCTCTCAAGTTTTGTTGAAAGTCTTTCATCTTCTCAAGGGAAAGACAGCACCTGGGAGAGGCTGGAGAGCCTACATTCTGACTAGGTGGCTCTTAGATAATGGAAATGAACAGGAACAACCTGGCCTGACCTAAATCCTCAAACCCATCAGTGCAAGCCCTCAACACAGAGGCAGCAGTCTTGTGACTGAGTTGAATGGGATGGGTACAGCATGTGAGAATTGTATAATATCTGGTCCACATCAAGAAGGATACTGGGAACTTAGATTATTTTCATGTACAGAGCTAAGCTTTTGTAGCAGTCTCTGGCTCTTGTCCCACTGTAGAGAGTCAGAACTGAGGAATTAGGAGAGGTTATCGATCTCTGTATTCTCCTTGCTCTTTACTCCCCATACAAGAGTGTTAGTAAACTTATTTTTCTGTCTCTTTGAAGAGCCTATTGATTTTAGTTTACGATTCATGTGAACCAGCTTTTTTTTTCCACTAGGAGAAGGAACTACATTTTTTTTCTTTGTTTACTCTGTCCTTCTCTGTGGGCCTAAGTGGAATGGAATTTGTAATTACTTAAATAATTTTCCTGGACAACAGTTTAGCTTAATACACACCTGCAGCATGTATTTTTTTCTGAATTAATCAGCCTCTTTGAAAATAGAAGTAAAAAGAAAAAGTCAAAAATGATGTTTTTTTTTTCCACCCTGAGATGGCATTATCATATGCTATTGTGTTTAATAAGATTTCCAAAGAGCTCCAAGTTCTCTGCACACCATCTTTTCCAACTTCAGAATCTAGAAATTTGTTGAAGGAGACAAATTTCTCTGACCTTGCCACTACCTCCAAATACTCTTACCTTCTTCCTGTTTTCCCAGATCACCACCCCTACTCTGGCCTAATTTTCTTTTCTTCAAAATTGTCACTCAATAATTAACCAGTTTAGCTTAATGGTATTTTTTTTTTTACCCTTGAATCACTTTTTCCTTGGTCCAATAACCACTCATCCCTAGATGACAATGTTAGATTATTCTCAAAATCTGCTGTTTTAGTCCTATGCATGTACTGCTTCAGCCAAATGGAGGAAGTCATGAAATTCTGCTAACAAGGTCCTGTACAAATTTATGCTATCATCTGCTGCGTACTGATGCTTTTACTCTTTCCTGATAGACCTTCTATGCTGCTTCTCTTATCAGCTATTCTAACTCTTTTCTCATTTCTTCAAGTTCCTAACACTGTACCTCTTATTTTCACTTGTTCAGCAGGTGACCTTGCCAAATATTTCACTGGAAAATTTGAGGACACCTAGCATGAGCTTTCTCTTCTCCCCAACACTTTACTCCAAATTATGACAACTTTATTTCCTGCTCTTCCCTCATTTGCTCTCATCTCAGAGGAAGTGGCTCTTCTCTTTGCCAATGACAAACTCTTGACTTGTGCTCTTGACCTCCTTCCTATCTGGCCATATAGACAAGAAATATCAAACATAGAGTCTGCAACATTCCTAAGTGTGGCGTGAATGAGATTAAAATGTAGTTGG